ACTCTGTAGCCAGAAACTTGAGAAGCAAAACGGTAAGTACCAAATTAGTAGAAATCATGCTTTGATTTTTTCAGTTGCAGATAGCTTTGAAATTCTGATCAAAAACGGAGCGGTTCGATATGTCATAATATTTCTGTATAAGCGAAACAAAAATAAGCTTTTGAATTTGTAAATTATACATACATTTTTTGTACAAGCCAAATGAAGATAGATACGCGTTTTTTATTCGGCATTTTCGACACTTTTTGGTTACATATTTCATCACATAGAATCGAGATGTGAATGATAAAAATTAACTTTTTAGGTGTCTTAAATCCAGAAATTTTTAACACAATGAAACGCTTTCATGATTCTGTTTCAGTATTCTAAAATAAACTGTGTATGCCATCAACGTTGAGATCATAAATCTCTATTCCTGTCAAAGATATCAAAAAGTGATTGACTGACAGAATGTTTATCATAATGTTAGCAACATTTTATCTGTTGACCACTTTTTGATACCTCTCATAGGAAATTAGATGCATGAGCTTGAGTTGACAGTTTAAGTGGCGTTCGTTAATAGTGTTTACAGTGCTTTTGGCTGCAGTCAAATTATTCAATATGCAGCATCAATGAACAGACCGAACAAGTTATCAATAGTGTTTCTTTTTCACTAAGTCGATTTTGCATTGATTACAATGTACAGAAACCATGAGCAGATATCCGTTTTGGAACTTTCGACTTTCTCTTTTCTCGAAAAATTCATTTAACATTCCATACAAAATGTTTACAAAGTTTTTGAATATCACGCAAAAGACCATTGGTCATCCCGCTCGAAAAAAAAACGTTTTATGTTTCTTTTTTTCATGGTCAGTGAAGCAAAAAAAGTTCTCAAGGACCACACTGAAAGAAGATGGATTAGAATTTTTTCAATGTTGCATTTTGTTCCAATGCAAAAAAGAAGATACGTCCATAAAACGAGCAAACTCACGCGATGGACCAATAATTTGAAACAAATTTAATCCGTCCGAAGAGAAATGTTTAGAACCGGGCTCAACAAAAAAGTTGTGAAAATACTTATGTTAGAAGGAAAAAAAAAGTTGGGGCATTCCAAGCTACCGTACCACAGAATTTTTTCTTGTAGGACTGAAAAAAGGCAAAAAATGGTGGTATTTGTTATTGGAAGAGTTTGTGTCAAATTCCAAATAAATTCGGACAGTGCTAATACACAAAAAAAGGATAAGAAAGAAAATTACGGGTATATTGAAAAAACCTCAAGGAAATTAATTGAAAAAAAATTAGATGAGAAAAGTAGTCACTGATTATCACTAACATTTAGCTGGAGCACTATGATACAAATCTGAAATTTCTCGAAAAGATAAAAAATTTCCAAAAATGATGAAAAAGGATTTTTTGTTTCCAATCTACTGCGAATATTTACAAAAAATTATCCAGAAGCTGTTCAACCAGACACTACATTCAAGTCTACATATCATCGTTATAGCTTTATTTCAGATAAATTAAAAGAATGAACTTCAGCTCTGTAGTTCATAGCGTTTTTGAGCCCCCGAGTTTCCAAAAAATACATCATAATTTTTGGTCTAATAGTCATGCATTTCGAAATAATGTTTTTCTAAAAACTTTTTATACCGACAATGGCCGGAATGAAGATGTACTTCATACAAGTTCATTGTTTTGGTTTGGTTGTTTGACCTAACTATCAATTAATATACTCCTACAGGATTTCACAAATTGCTAGCTTTAGTTTTTTTTTCAAAAGCATGAGGATTACTGAGTAACAAGCGGTAATGATAAACTTTTCTAGACAACAAATCGGTGAGTGATGTGATTCGAATTTTCTAGTTCATCTACTCTCTGAAGGCTATCTTCTAACATGTTGTTACCATGGTAACACTGCCTGCTACCCTTCTTTCTTTCTAATGAGCCTGGCATCAGATATATCTCTATTTTTGAGTTTAACTCGTGCTCTCCCCTCTTTCTCCCTCTCGCGAACTTTTCAAGTTGTCAACTTAATTTAATCAACTTCGAGATATAAGAAAATGTTCGTTTGTTATGTTTCTGTTGTGTGAAGCTTTAGAAATGTTGTTGTCCCTTTTAAGATGTTTTGAACTGACTAAAATCCCTATTCTCATTTCAGAACAATGCGGAGACCATTCTTTCTCTTCATTCTATTCAATCTTTCCCTCCCGGCTGCAGTTTCTGGTGAATTTCTGGAAAGGTCCGATGCTTATGGAAGAATCTGGGAGAGCAGGACACCTCCTGACGGAATGAAACAAGACGTGTCTCATAATCACCTCGTTTTTGTTTTTCTGGCATTTCTTGTCCTTAGGTATATCTATCATACCAATGTAATCACCAAAATCTTGATTTCAGCGCCGTGATCTTGTTTTCTCGCTACTGCCGCATTGTATGTCTCCGTCCACGTGTAAAAAATGCTTCTCGCCGTATCCGGGGAGCTTATCGAGCCAGGGGTCACCACACTGTTCACTACATGAGAGGCCTCGACATTGATGACTCAGAGTTTTGTACAGAATCTATGATAGAAATGCCTACCAGGCTTGGTCGGAAACGGAAAATCGAGTTCTCGATTTTTCCGATTTTCCGATTTTTTCGAAAAATTTTTCCGTCGGAAAATTTTCCGAATTTTTTTTTCGGAAAATTTTCCGAAAAATGTTCGGAAAATTTTTTCTCGAAATAATCATGCTGAGTTCAAAGTGAAGAGGAAATCTCTACTTTGTATAGTTGAAACTGGTGCAACAGTAACCCAAGCGCGGCAAGACCCGCAATCGGTGTCGATTTACGGGGTCGATTTAAGGTGAATTTTTTTAAAATTAATTTTTTTTGAATGAAAACATACTTTAATCAGGGTTTTCATTACTTCTTCAACATTTTTTTCGGTTTATACTGTTCTTAATAGACTTCTTTTATTGTTCAGTGATTTTTTACCTTCTCTCACTGAAAACACTTGGTTTTTTTCAGACTTTAGGTCATCAAAAGTTTTTCTTAAAATTGTTGGTTTTGCAGTGAGTAACTTTGTCTGAATTTAACGAAATTTTCAGACTAAACATGGGAAAATACTCAGCGGTATTGACAAATCTGGCGGATGGAAGGAAAAAGTGTAATATTTGCAACCGATTCTTCAACGAGCAAAAAGACTCCGGCACAAATTTGTATCGCTATCATTTTAAGAAGAAACACCCAGCAGAATGGAAGAAGGTAAGCCTGTTTCACGAAAATTCTCTAGAAATTGTTGCTTATAGGTATCTGGTGAAGACACCAGTGATGTAGAAGACGACGGTCCGCCAGTGAAGAAGCCAGCACTTCAGCAGAAAAGCATCCCTGAAATGTTCTCCGATTTCACTCCCGATGGTCAGAAAACCGCATCTATCGAACGAGCTGTTATGCAACTGATAGCCGCCGCACTTTTGTTACTTTTTGTTACTTGTGCTTGTTCATCTATTGTTTTCCATTTCATTTTTGTGCTTTTTGTTGTTTTTGTCAAATAAACTGGTAATTTTTGACTAATTGAAATTCGAGAAAATTCGAGAACTCGATTTTCCGAAAAAAAAAGTCGAGAAAAAATTCGAGAACTCGATTTTCCGAAAAAAAAAGTCGAGAAAAAATTCGAGAACTCGATTTTCCGGAAAAAAAGTCGAGAAAAAATTCGAGAACTCGATTTTCCGAAAAAAAAAGTCGAGAAAAAAGTCGAGAACACGATTTTCCGAATTTGTTTTTCCGAACAAGCCTGATGCCTACCCAAACCGAAAAGGCCAAAAAATGATTTAGTTTATTCTTTCTTTCTTTCTGTTTCTGTTTCTCCATAAAAAATTTAATGTTATCCTTGTTTATTATTGTAACAAACTTTTCTTGCTTCATCGTCTCTATTTCTATGATGCATTTTTCAAAAGTATGGCGCAAGAGCTTTTTCCGATTTTTCGAATTTCTCCTACCGATTCCTACTACAAAATACTTCTTCTCCTTCATTTTCCATTTTGCGTATCCTTGGAAACGCAAAATATTTTTGAGACACTTTTATGAGATGGCGCCGAACTAGAAGAGGGAGCTGTGTGAAAAAGGAAAATTAGCAAGTGAACAAAAATAATTGGCAGGATTAGAGATTTTTCAAGATTTGTGACAATCTGGAGGTAGTTAAATGTAGGATTAGTAGAAGTACACATGGTCTTACAGTAGGTAACCTTGTGTTTTTCAGTTTAAAAATTTCTCAAGAAAAGTTAACGGCAAAGAAAAAATATTTGAAGCTGGGAGCACATATTGAGGTTTGAAACAGAAAATCTCGGATAATTTTCACAACTTCACCTCTCTATATAGAAATTTTGGCACTCTTCTAGAAGAACAAAAAAAAAATCTCCGAACGAAAAATAAAATCACGTAACGAATTTTTTTCATC